GCCATGGCTCTGCTGCCAAACACTGCAGTGGCACAGGGAAACATCTGATCTATTGGTAAAGCTGCTCCCAGGCACAGCTCTGCTCCCCAACACTGCAGTGGCACAGGGAAACATCTGATCTATAGGTAATGTCACTCCAGAAGCTGCTCCCAGGCCATGGCTCTGCTCCCCAACACCTGCAGTGGCACAGGGACATATTTGATTCATAGGTAATGTCACTCCAAGGACAGTGAAGCAGAGGAAGAGCTGGCCTGGCACAGGTGTGGTGTCCTCACCAATGGAGAAATGTCAAACTAATGGGATGCACCCCAGGCTGAGAGTGAGAGAGCTGAGTGCACGACTGCAATGATTTCATCCTCACACACCACACTCAGCACCAGACTGTTCCATGCAAGCAGAAATGACAAACTGCACTGGATATCTCTGTGTGCCACACTCAGCACCAGACTTTTCCATGCAAGCAGAAATGACAAACTGCACTGGATATCTCTGTGTGCCACACCATGCAGGCAGGAATGACAAACTGCACTGGATATCTGTGCCACACTCAGCACCAGACTGTTCCATGTGTTATAGGTAAAAGTTAAGTTAATTTAAAATAGGATATAGTTCAATTATATTGTATTAATTATGTTGTATTATTTGTATTATGTTAAAGGGGAGGGGCTTATTAGAATGTGCTAGAAGGGTCCAGGGTTTGGTGAAACAGGGGTCTGATGGGGCAAGGCAAGGTCGAAGAGAGATTGGATGAAAGATCTGATCAATCATTCGAAGCCCTGAAGAAACGATTGGTCCAGAATGAACAGCAGTAAAGACCAATGAGAAGCCTGGAAATGGACCAATCATCATGAGGATCCAAAATGCACCAATCCTGGACTCGAGGGGGACTATAAATATGGGGAGTTCGGTTGGGTCGGAGTTCTTCTTTTGGGGTACTTGTTGTTTGGGAGAACCCAGTGCACTTGGGGTGAGTGCACTGTTTTGCTTTTGGCTGGCTGTGTGGGTGCCTGGGCTTATCCTGGGCATTCTGTTCCTTGTAGCTATTTTAATAAACAAGAACCTCTTTCTCTGGAGAAAGTTTGGCCTTGTTCGTATCCGTAACACATGCAAGCAGGAATGACAAACTGCACTGGATATCTGTGTGTGCCACACTCAGCACCAGACTGTTCCAGGCAGGCAGGAATGACAAACTGCACTGGATATCTCTGTGTGCCACACTCAGCACCAGACTGTTCCATGCAAGCAGGAATGACAAACTGCACTGGATATCTCTGTGGGAAGTGCACCCTGTGTCAGTTTTCTCTCAACAGCTCCGTTTTTTTACAACATTATTAAATGGCATTATTAAAAGAGCTTAAATCTTTAAGTTACTGCATTGCATAACTTGCAGGAAGGATGGTAAGTGATCTCATGAAAATGACTGAATTATTAACGACATTTAACAAATCTTGGAACAATGGGGAAATCCTAAAGGATTAAGAAAAACCAAAACAGAACAACTCCCAAACCAAAATATATTCTCTCTTCTCCTCCAAAAAAATCCCTCCAGGCCTCCAAAGCAAAACTAAAGTGTGACAATATTTAAAAAAAGACAAACTGTGTGATGAGTGTAAGTACAGCTTAGTCTGTCTCCCAGACACACCAATAACTGACATCCAAGGGCATCATAAGTAAGACCCAGCCAATGTGGTTTCACAGAGAAGAGTTTTCTGTAAATATTATTCTTTAATTAATTACAAGTCCATTTTGGTAAAAGTAGCTGTTGACATCATAAATTTCTCTAAGGCCTTGGTTTTGGCCCCACATGTTATACAAGCATTGGTGGAATACGTTAAATGCTTGATATTAAATAATTGTAAATAAGGATTTGTCCTAGAGAATCTCATACTCAGCAGCTATTTGACATCTTTATCAAGAATGTTAATGAAATTATATAAACAATTGCAAAGAGAATCTGCATATTAAACCCAAGCTTTCTGGAAAAGTTACTGTACAAAACATATTTATTAAGGTATCTGCTCGAGTAGTTCTGTGAAATACAACACAATGTTTCAGAATGTGTTCATCGTGTGCTGTCTGGCCTTAAACCCTGCTGAGTTTCTAGAAACAAAAGAAATGAGTTCTCAGAGGCATTTGCAGAACAACTGAAAAATGTGCTTAAGAGGGTAAAAGTGAATATTAAAAAAGTGTAGTGAGGGAGTTGAGGACAAAAAGAAGTAGGTGAGAGCAGAGCAAGGTCATCCTTGTATCTTACATAAACCAGACTGTTACAGAACACTGCAGCTGGTTCCTGGTTCATCCCCCCGGACTTAAAAAGTGAAAAATGCACCAATTGATACATAACATGTCAGCAAAGAACAATGCACCACAGAAAAAAAGAAAAAGCTGTTTAGACTGACACTAGCAAGCCTCTTTAGCTCATACAGCAAATTATGTGTGGAGTTAATGATGACTACAAATCAAATATGCAGAAAGAGATTTCGGCTATCCTAAAGCTACTTCCGTTACCAGGACTCAACAGTGTGGGATACAGAGGCTGAAATAAAACAAGTGCCAATGAGAAGACACAACATTTTTAGTACAATGAACCACTGCAACAAGTACTGAGTGACCAGCCGGTCTCTTTTGTTACTTCTGAATCCTTCAGAACCGGACCTCCTCCTAACACGAACTTGCTCAGTAAATTGGTAACAGCAAGGAGCAGTTTGCTGGGCAGTGGGCAGTGTTCCTCCAGGGCCTGCTGCCCATCTGAGCTGTTGGTGCAATTCATCTTCTGGAGGAGAGGGATGGCACCCAGAGAAACCTGGGGAATCCAGGTTGAGATGGAGAGCAGCCCGGGGACAAGGGGTAACAAACCTGGGCTAACTCAATCTGGCCGAGCAGTGGCAGCACAGGAACCACCAGGGCCCGGGGCTGTCTCTGCTGCAGGTGAGGTGAGGGAGGCGGTTCTGCCTCTCTGCTGGATCCCCTGCCCTCAGAGCACAGCAGCAATGCTGCCCTGGCCCCACTGCAGCAGCATGCAGGAACACAGCAGCAATGCTGCCCTAGCCCCACTGCAGCAGCATGCAGGAGCAATGCTGCCTTGGCCCCACTGCAGCATTTAGCACAGCTGCCCCAACCCCACTGCAGCAGCATGCAGGAGCACAGTAGCAATGCTGGCCTGGCCCCACTGCAGCATGCAGCAATGTTGCCCTGGCCCCACTGCAGCGGCACGCAGGAGCTCCAGGACAGATCTCTCTTCTCACAAACCGTGCACTGGCAGCAGTGCCACCAGCTCAGACCAGCTTGAGCCAGACCCACAATCAATCTGCTATTGTGCTGATGACATGGATGGATCCTTGGAGAATGCTTTTTTCCATGTGCCATGGAGGGATCCTTGGAGAATGCTTTTTTCCATGTGCCATGCTACTGAAGTAACTACAAAACCCAAGTGCTCACAAAGTATTCATGTCTAGAGAGCAGGTCTAGTTAGTAACTCATAAATGACAGGAACCAGGACTCCAGACTGAAAATCACTATGAAAAACCTTCTTTAATTCCTGGCTTTATTGTACTCAGTGGGAATGCAGTGAACGTTTGCTCCAAGTACAGCACTGTGGAGTTCTGAAGAGAAACCACAAAGACAGTTGAACAGCACCAGAGCATGTAGGGCAACCCTGCAGGTAGGACAGCCCTGCAGCAGGACAAACATGCAGCAGGACAGACAGCCCTGCAGCAGCTGGGCTGTGCTGGGGGAGGAGGGATGGCACCAAGAACACCACACAGCAAACAGACAAGAAACCACATTCTTGCACTGGTGACATTTTATTTTGTTGTCTTCTCCTCTTGCCCATCTCACTGCAGACTCTCCACCCCTGCACAGTCTCCACGTCTGCTTTCAGCACAGCACGTGCAAACGCAGCAGAACCTGTTCCAAAGGCAGCTCTGGAGACCCCCTTGGCCCTGCATTATCCCCTGCTGTCAGAACAATGGGATTGTGCTGGTACTGACACACAGGTACAAACCTGCCTGCTCCCCACACACTGCCAGGCCTTCCCTGGCAATCTCAGCACCAGCAACTTTGTCCCACAGTGCAAATTCTGCAATTTCCTGGTATGGTGGGTCTTTGGATGACAAAGTCTGGAGAACTCATTCTTTAAAAACCAGGCCTGCCTGTGCTGCTGCTTCCTGCCATCTTCTGTGGCATCTGCTGCATTCAGACACTGCCCAGGGAGGCTGTGGCTGCCCCAGCCCTGGCACTGCTCAAAGCCAGGCTGGGTAAGGCCTGGAGCCACCTGCTCTGGTGGCACGTGTCCCTGCTCAGGGGGTGACACTACATGATCTTTAAGGTCCATTCCAATCCCTTCACATTCTATGATTTATAGAGACAGAAAGATATTATTCCTTATGGTCCAGAGACAATGCCAACAACATGACTTAAAATGGTGACTCCTCTTCTTTTAACCTTTTCAACACAGGGAAGCCACTGCTATTATAGCTCATTTGCACAGAGAGGCGATGCTGAAAAGAAACAGGTTATGTAAGACAGTGAAGGGGTATCTGCAGAGCAGGGGGAAAAGACACTGTGGGAGCACTGGCATGACAAGGAACCCATGCTGGCAAGGCAGCCTCGTGGAGCCTGGTCCCAGCACCAGCAGGCTGCTCATGGAGGGATGCACTGAATTGCAGTGAGTCTCCCAGGTGAGCATGGAACAGCTTCAATGGGCACACAAAGGCCACCTCAGCACATCAGGTACCAAGGTCTCTAAAAGGCTGGTGAGTCTCCAAAGGCTTGAGAGCATTCAGCTGTTGCAGCACTGGAAGACTTTCTATACACGTTTAATGTCCAACATTACAGGAGACAGATGCAGGAGGAACAGTGGGTTCCTGACAAGGGTAATAATGACCTTCCATCCCTTCCAAGTCTGGTGCTGTCTGGTGCTGAGCCTAAACGCTGGGGTATGAAATAGAGCTTTGTGCAACAGGATACAGCAAGCACTGAGGAGGTCTCTTTTGTGGCTGACAACAGACAGGAGAGTGACAGGGCAAGGCAGTCTTTGCATTCTGCACAGCACTGTTCTCATGTTCAGTGTGGGTGCATTCTGTGCAAGAAAGGATTTCCCCGCTGAAGAGACCCAAACATTGTGCTAGTCAGTCCCTTTTGAGAAGAACTGTAAAAAAGAACCCTGATCTCACACATCAGAGGAAGATGACAAAACAGACACTTGCTGTACTGGAAACCACTATACAAGCAACTAGTATGACCAAACTGAGGCTGCAACCAGAGCAGGAATCACACTGTGAGTGCCACTGTCCAAAGGAACTCCACTGGCAGAAGCAGCCTCTGCACCACAGCTTTGGCTTGAACTCCTCACAACTGACCAGATGTTTCAGTATCAAAGTCCCCTGCAGAACTGAGTCACAGTCCCAAAGACATTCAGCTGCTTATATTAGTGCTGTGGGTTATGAGCCTGACAGAAGTGGGGCTTGTAGCTGAAAAGCTTTAGAATTACTCCTTTTCATCTTCTAGGGATTTACTTCGGCCTCGCTTGCGGCTGGTTTTTGGAACTTCAGCTTTCTGTGCAACTTGGGGTGCCCCTTCCTCACTGCCCGTGCTCTCGTTGTGTGCTCGTGGTGGGCGACCTCTCTTACTCCTCCTCGTTTTATCAGCTCCAACAGCAGGGAGCTTCTTGGCAGCCAGGCTGCCGGCTCTCTTCTTTCTGCCCCTGCTCAAAGGACGTTTCTTCCGCTGCTTCTTCTGCTCTTCCCTTTGGCGAATTTTGATTAGCTTCTGAAAGCTTTTGGTAGTCGTTGTATTCACATCAAACCAGTCCTGCAGGTTTAGAAAGCAACAGGTTGGTACTGATCGTGGTGGAAATACCAAATAAAGCCTATCAGGGCTTACAACATAGCTGCCTTGTGGGACAAGGTTTCCCTGAAAGGTAAGATCTGGAAAGACAACTGCCTAACAACACTCCGTTCTTTGATGTGCCTCCTTAGGTGTCACTGTGTCTCAGAGGACTCAGATTTGATTTGACATTTGCTTAGTTAAGGCACAGGAAATGCTGCAGAGCTGAACAGAGCAGCAGCAGCTTGGGACAAGGCATGTGACATGACACAACACTTACTCCCCACACTAACACATAGACCAGCTAAGTTTAATGACCCTGTTCCCAACAGGGTCAAAAGTAAAGGAAAAAGTAAAACATGGCACACATCGAGCATTTTCTTCTTAAGACACTCTCCCCACCTCCAGCATCCTGAGTTTGAGGTTCCCTCTGCCTGCCTTACCTCAGCGTGCACAGAGTTGATGTGATATTTGACCCCACTCTCTGAAGTGAACTCCTTCTCACACAGGAGACACTTGTATTTACCAGCCACAAAGTCTCCCTGGCATCAAAACAAACAAACAAACAAAATTCCATCAAGAGCTGCTGGACCAGGAGGCTGATAACCCTATAGATTTCATTTAAATTCTGCTCAGATAGAATTCAGCAATAAAAACTAGAAACTCTCATGCACAGCAGACAGCTTCAGCCACAGCAGCACTGCCATGAGTGAGCAGCTGTGCCCACAAAGCACAAAACTGCTCTCTGAGATGCCACAAGATCTCCAGCAGGGCACCTGGAAAAGCTGCTCTTGTAGCTGTGAGTTTACAGGTGGAACTGCTGTGCCATTACAAGGAATGCAGGAAGGGGCTTTCTTTCTCCTGTGTCAGTACAAGGAATGCCAGCAAGGGGCTTTCTTCTGCTCTCAGGCATTGTTTACAATGGCAACACAGGGGAGCACCCAAACTGGAATGAGGTGGTCCATAAGAGCCCCTCCGACCCAAACCATTCCATGAATCCATGAACTTGTGAGGATCTCAGATCAGCAGGTGGCAGGACAAGAGCTTGAGGGACATGGACAGTGGGGCTATGAAGAGGAAGGCTACCAACCAAGGTACATGTGCCAAGGTGAGACTTGAGTCCTGAGACACTGCCATACACAGATTCACAGCCCTGAAAAAGTAAAAAAAAAAACGAAATGTGAACTACATGCTAGCAAGAAATCACTCCTTCCTGGACAATACAGCATTATTATGTCTGGAGGCCAATCCCCAAAGTGCAAAAGAGCGGTAGAGGGAGGCAGATACCAATCCTCCACAGCCAGAAAGCTTCTGGTAAAAAGACCATTAGAAGAGTAACCTTAGTATTTATATTTCCAGTTTCTGAGCACACTTGGACATAAAAAAAGAGACTCCTGCAACAGTTACTCTCATACTCTATCAACAGCCTGACTAAAATGACAGTTTGCTTTCTGCCTGAAGTGCAACAGAGAACAATTTCAAGCAGAGCACACAGAGCAGGTCCAAGACACTTCTCCTGCACTGCTCATGTCTCTGGCACAGAGCAGGAGCACAGCACCCCAGAGCCCTGATCTCAGCAGCTTCAGAGGCCTGGCCCATGGGCAGCTCCAGGCAGCAGTGCTGGGGTACCACACTGTGCTCAGTCCCCAGCCCGGGGCCCAGAACAGGAGGCAGGAGCAGGACATGCTGCTGGGTCACTGGTGGTGACAACAGGGCTGCAATTCTGACCTTGAAAATGATGCTGTAATTTTAAATGATCATGCTAAATGATGCTGAATACTGGGGAGAAAGTGCTGGGGATAGGGGAGGGGAGGGCACAGGGAAGGCACCACATGTACACCAAACCCAGAGGGCAGCTGCCACTGACCCTTGGCTCTCTGACAGCAACCACCACATGGAGATGTCCACCACCTCTACCAGTGGGGCCATTTGTTCCCACTGGATCTGACTGGTGACAGTTTTTCACAATGCCTTACAACAAAGCTTTCCAGTCCAAGGGGTCCAGGAGAGCCAGAGAGGGACTTTGGACAAGGACCTGGAATGACAGGACAAGGGGCAATGGCTTCCCACTGCCAGAGGGCAGGACTGGATGGGATACTGGGAAGGAATCCTTCCCTGTCAGGGGGCTGAGGCCCTGGCACAGGGTGTCCAGAGAAGCTGTGGCTGCCCCATGCCTGGAAATGCTCAAGGCCAGGTTGAAAAGACCTTAAAGCTGGTCTAGTACAATGAAGAAAACTGAAGTGCTGTCCCACACAAAGTCTCTTCACTCTTGTATTTCCAACTCTACTCCTTCCTTCTGTGAATAGATTTAGATAGGAAGGCAGAGGCCTGTCATTTTTCCACTACTCAAACCTCCAAATGGACCAACTGCCCACCTGGATGAGAAAACTGTACCAGCCTGACACCAGGTTACTGGCTCTCAGGTGTTCACACACATTCCCAAAAGGATCAACCCAGGGCACTTTGATGCAAAAGACAAAAGGAGCACCCCCAGACATCCCCAAGACTCAACAGAGCCTTGATTACACTAAACAACCATACTGAGATGGAGCAGGATTTGTCTCCCACAGAGAGACCAACAGCAGTTCCAGGGTTGTGGGAAGCTGTTGGCTCATACAGAATTGAAATCTATCCCCTCTGGGGCTTCAGAAACAGTTAAAGATTACCTGATTTGGGCAGTGAACTCTTCGGTACATCTTAATCTCCGTTTTCCATTTGCACAGCACATCTTGACTAAATGTGGGCAGTCCAGGACGAGTGTATTTCAGCTGAGACAAAGATGGAATTGAGAGCTGGAGGTAAGGCTGCCTGTGCAGAATTTCCTCCTCTAGGCCGAGACAGAAGTGCTATCTCTTCTCCTACTCTAACAGGTAAACTCCCAATAACCAATGTTCTCTTGTCTCACCAACTCTCTAGAAACATAAGTGAATCTGGAAAACCCCACAATATCAGAATCTGAAACCTCCCATTGCCTTGACTACTACAATTGCTCTAAATGTCCTTACCCTGCTGAGATCCATTGTTTTCCTCTGGCTTTCACTCACAGCCTAAAGGACACTACTGGAAACTCTGAAGTCTAAAGCACTGTGAAACAGCACAGCATGTATCAGAGACTGGTAGGATTGCTGGGGCCTTACAGCATGGCAGGAGTGATCTATGACAGCCCCTGTTCCTTGTGCCCCTGGGAATTCCAGCAACAGGACTCTACAGTGATCACAGCCTGTCTGAACAAACACTGCCCCACACAACTGCTGCTGCAGAAATACTGGGGGAGAGAGAGAGAGAACAGAACCCAGGCCCCACACAACACACTGCTCTCCATGTGCCACAAACACAGCATAGATGTGGAGGTATAAACTTCAACCCTATAGAGCATTTTTAAGGCCTTGTACCTTCCGGTCATCAGGAATCAAGTCCTGCAGAACTTTTCTTTTGGGCCACTCTTTGGCCAGCTCCTCTCCTGCCAGCTCATGAAGATAGTAGATTGCCACCTTTGCAGATCTCCTCTGCACTCTGCCTGCGCTGTTTTGCTCCCGTTTCATTTCTTTCAGGTTCTCTGTTCTCTCCTCATGGAGGAAGGTGACCTGCAATGAAGGCCCAAAAAGGTGAGTCTCTTTCACTGCTTCCTATTTCAGTTACACTAAATACAGGGAATAAATGTTTTCCCAAACTCCTCATAAACAGGCTGCATCAGCTATGGTTTACTGTCACAGACACGGGACAGAAGTACATCCCCTTGGTCAGACAGACCCCCAGAACTGCTCACAGAGATCACAGTAGTGAGGCTCAAGCAGAGAGCTTCATGCAGTTGCTAGTCTTGAAAGGTATTCCATCATTCACTGTAAAACCCTCATGGACCACCAGACTGCCTGTTCTGCTCCAATGGTGAGTCCTTTAAGAGCAAAGGAAAGCATCTCACAAGTTATGTTAGCATCACTCTGTCATGGAGCCAAAGTCAGGTCATTTTCTGCTGCCATGCTGATTTACTATTAGAAACTTCATCCTAGTCATACAGAAGCAACAGCTAGCTGCTGCTAGAAGGAAACTATCAAAGACAAAATAATCCAGTGGCAGGAAAAATGCAAACATTTGTGGTCTGTAATTACCCAACAAAGGAGTAGACAAAAGCCTACACGTGTCTCAAGCCTGAGTGGCTGAAGTCCCACCCCAGTCCTCGATACCCCTGCAGGGTGCACTCACTGGCCCGTGCTTCGATCGCAGGTGGTAGACAAGGCCTGCCTTTGATCTGTAGGCTTTTCCACAGTGATGGCACTTCATAGCCATTTTCTCCAGCTCAGAAGCAGCCTTCCCACATTTTTTAATATGATATAGGTATCCCATTATGCTGGTGAAGCTGCCTGTGCAGCCCTGTCAAACAAAAGGAAAATACATGGAAGAAAACCATTCTTCAAGGGATTCCACCCCCAGTGTGAACAGGATCCACAGTTTGCTGACCAAAGTACTGGCACTCATCCTGACAGAGCAGAGACAGGCAGGTAAAAACTTTAATGTTTGTCTATTTGGACAGACAACATCTGCAACAAAGAATTGGCATTGAAATGACCGTTAAAGGTCTCTTTTAACCCAAACCATTCTATGACTCTATGCTACTCTGCCTTAAAAGCACAGCTTGGGTCTTGAAGCAAATCTTGCTCTGGCCAGCACCAGAGCACACTCAACAGCACTCTCACATTTCATGTCTATGCATACAACACTGCTGATTAATTGACACTGCTGATTAACTGACATTCTGCACAATGCAGCTTACCTCCCTTGCACACTTCAGTTTTCCCATTCGCTTCAGAACTTTCCGAAGGCGCTCTCGCTCAAGCTGTTCATCCACTTCTTCTCCCTCCTTCATAACTGGCTAAAGCACAGCAGAAAGATGAATGAAAAACACAGGATGCTCAGCATTCACAGTTCTCCTCACAGGGAATTCACTACTCACACTGGGGCAGGAAAGCTTCTAAAATAATTAAATCTCTGCAACTTAATGATTTTACAGACATGTATTTACTATAATGCTGACTTTCTGTATCTGTGCTGGTTTTGCTGGGGTGGCAGCTGGTGTGGGGCTGTGTTTTGGATCTGTGCTGAGAACTGCTGAGAGCTCAGAGATGGTTTTGCTGTTGCTGAGCAGCCCCTGAGGATACTGCAGAGCACACTGCCAACCCCAACTGACCACAAGGACACTGCAGAGCACACTGCCAACCCCAACTGACCACGAGGACACTGCAGAGCACACTGCCAGCCCCAACTGACCACAAGGATATTGCACCACCATGCTCAGCATGTAAAGCTGAGGGAAGGAGGAGGAAGGGGCAGACATTCAGAATGATGGCATTTGCTTTACCAAGCTACCACTATGTGCGATGAAGCCCTGTGGTCCCGGAGATGCCTGGACCTTCCTACCAAAGTGGTGAATGAGTTCCTTGTTTTGCTTTGCCTGTGTGCTTTATCTATTGAACTGTCTTTATCCCAGCACATGAGTTTTCTCACTTTGATTCTCTCCCCCATCCTGTAGGTGAGAGAGAGAGTGAAGGGCAGCAGGGGGCTTGGCTGCTGACTGAGGTTAAACCAAAGAGGAATTATCTTTAAAAGGAGTAAACTGACAGAAAATTATGCATCTTAAACATTTAATAGTCCTACTGTTTCCACTCAGGCTGACTAAGGTGAAGCAGACTGCTTGTAACAATCACTCATCTGTGCAGAACTACAGCTCAAGTCCCTTATTCTCTCTCTGATGGTTACTGTATATTATTTCCTACTTTACCTAATATTACACCTAGATTGAGTAAAAAGATAGAATTCAGTGACAGATCTAACCCTCAGGGCCAGAACATGATCCCTGGCCCGCATCATTTACTAACACAGCTGTAGGTTCAGAAACTGCAGTACTGGGAATCGTGCAAAAAATTCAGAGAGAATTATCTGAACTTTACACAAACTTCCAAATGACCATTTCAAAAGTTCTAATTCTTTACAGCTACAACAGGAGACATTGCCTTCTTCAAAGTAAGAGCAAAGAGGAAAAGCAGATTGTAGTATTAGTACTAATCTAGTGTTAGATTACTATTTTTAAAGTAAACAGAGATGAGAACTAATTGCTGCTTCTGCTATTTTACCTCAAATCTAGTCTGCTCTGGATGAAGAAAAACTTCCACCTTTCTAGCAAAGGGCTGAAAACTGCAGCCTAATATTTTTCCTTCTGATTGGGAATGCCTTTTATGTGTGACTTATTTCCTAAACAGAAATTGATCCCTCATTCTATGATGTTGCATGCCTAGCATCTCTGGTAACATTCCACTGTTTTTCACATGTGAAGTCTCACTGGAAAAATAACAGTTCAACTAGACTTGAGCAGCTAGAACACTGGAAAAAAGCACTCCATGTTCTGTGTCTGTGTGTAGCAGGAAGGACCAAAGCCAGTTCTGTGTCTGTGTGTAGCAGGAAGGACCAAAGCCAGTTCTGTGCCTTTGTGTAGCAGGAAAGGACCAAAGCCTGCTCTGTGTCTGTGTGTAGCAGAAAGGACCAAAGCCTGCTCTGTGTCTATGTGCAGCAGGAAAGGACCAAAGCCTGTTCTGTCTGTGTCTGTGTGTAGCAGGAAAGGACCAAAGCCTGTTCTGTGTCTGTGTGTAGCAGAAAGGACCAAAGCCTGTTCTGTCTGTGTCTGTGTGTAGGAGTAAAGGACCAAAGCCTGTTCTGTCTGTGTGTAGGAGTAAAGGACCAAAGCCTGTTCTGTCTGTGTGTAGCAGGAAGGACCAAAGCCTGCTCTGCCTGTGTCTGTGTGTAGCAGGAAGGACCAAAGCCTGCTCTGCCTGTGTCTGTGTGTAGGAGGAAAGGACCAAAGCCTGCTCTGCCTGCAGCAGTTTCAGATGCACAGCAGCTGTGTTACCTGATTGTTATGGTCTGCCATGACGTGGTATTTCATCCCTGCTAAAGACTTCAGCTGCTTCCCACAGTGCTGACATGTGAACATTTCCTAGAAGGAAGGATGTGGTACATTTAACTGTAAATTAACCAAAGCAGTGGATAACTCTTTGGGGGAAAGGAGCAGGAGAGCAGCACAATTTATTTGGGCCTGGTAACTCTCTTCAAAGAACTGATTTTACGGAGTCTAAAATCTAGTGGAACAATGAAATAACTACACCTTTGTTCACTACCCAAACCTCCTGCAAAAGGCTGGGCAAGAAGCACCAATCACTGTTCTTACAGATATATAAAGGAGTCTTGCTAAGGGACACAGTGATGAGATGAAACTGGTTTTAAATGCAACACAAAACAGGCAGGTATTTCTATCAGTAAGCTGAAGAGGAGTAAAGAGACCATTGCTCATCTCTTGTGTTCTTACCTTCCTGCAATTCAGCATATGTTTCTTCAGCCCTTCCACAGTCTTCCTCACCACAGCCCGGCACGTGGGACAGGTAACTCGGCCTTTGTTCTGAATCTCTAGAGACCACTGCTCTTCCATACTACCTGTCAAAACACAACGTTTAGAACAAAAGTCCAACACAACATTTTTCCTTTTTCCTCCTCAGATGTGCCCAGTGAACCCTAAAAAGAAACAGGTCACACGCTCCCAAACCTGTGTCCAGCTGCACCTCAACACGTGCAGCTCCTTTACAGCTCCAGGTATGGACTGTCACAAGGCACACAGCACTCACTGCCAAGGAGCATTATACAAACACCCTTGGATCTACCATTCCCTTGTAAGATGTGCTCTTCTACCTGACCAGTGGTAGAACACCTAATCCTGAGGGCCAGAACATTTCCCTCTGTTAATTTCTGTCACACAATTAGTTTAGCATGCTGAGTTAGCAGAAGTTTAGCAAACTTTTCTTTTGGCCAAAGTGTTTTCACAGTAAAATCAGCCACAGACCACCAGGGCAAGTTACTCAGCAGCCAGGGAAAAGCACCCTGTGTGGCATGGTTTTCAGTTTCTGGCCTCTTTATGAAATTCCAAGCAGAAGTCTGGAATAATCCACAAGAATTATAAATTACTGAAATGGGTTCTGGGAAGAAAGTGGTTTAGCAGCCATCTGCCTGAATTCTTACCGTAACAAGATCCACAGCCTCTCCTCTTTTCCCAATAATAACAGGCCCAGGTTGTCCCTCTTCTGGGGAAAAGTTTGTGAATCAAACAGCACTTGGTAGAAAACTGGGGTGTTTAATAAGTGCTGTAATTTACAAACACCAAGTTATTCCACTCACTGAATCAAGGCTAATTTTATTTTTCTAGGACAGATTGCTTGGGTCTCTGGCTCCCAGGATAGGTGATCTGGCAGCAACAGCTACGGAGTTTTTCCTGCAAACATATTCTGCTGAGTAAAAACGATAACTGTTTTAATGCGTTTAATAATGCAACTATTTTAACAGGCTTTTGTTCAGTTCAAAAAGTGATTCCTCTTTCACTGTTACACTCTGCAATAGCCAAAGCACGTGGAGCTACACTCAGGCAGTGTGCAGTCCTTTCAGTCCTACTGTGTAGTACTGACACAGTGCCAGGCCAGCAGCCAGCTCCTCCCTGCCAACAGTACAGTGAACTGCTGAATGGAAACACCAGAAGCACAGCTCTGCTCAGATTCAAATCCTAGAATCACATTTATCTTTTATCTGCTTCATGAGCAACTCCTAGCTACTGCCTCTTCTTACCTGCGTCATAGGTTTCTGGCTCTTTCCGAACACTGTGGTGTTTTGTTCTGGAGTTTTGTTTTGCTCCAGTTTGTTGGTTTTTCCCTGTTATAACACAAACAAGACAAGCCAAAATAGTCAGTTCTGCTAGCTTTCTTACAATAAAAACCAGATTTTTATTGCTAGAAGGCTGCCATTTAAGTCTGCTCTCTCAAAGTTATTCAGAGATGTTCAATGCTTTTTTTTTAAAGCAATGTCAAGGTTATGTTTCCTACCCCCTTTCAAGATCTATTTCTAGTGGCAGGCATTAGTCCCACTCAAACACTTGTGAGTTCTATGGCTGTTCCCACTCCAAGCTCAGGGGATGTGAACTCTCCACACTGACACATCCTTTGTGCAGTTTGACTGAGTCCATCTGATGATAACCATGGGGAGTCTCATTGCTCTACTCATTCCAGTCTTCTTTAGACTAAAACACTCTTATTGTTTCAGCATGGGTTATGCTGCTTGCTCTCATCTCCCTGTCCTCTTCAGCTGTCACACACATTTCCTGCACCTCAGTGCCTGTTCCTGGAAACAGCACTCCATGGTGGCCCTGCATTAGAGCAAAAGAATTACTTCACACGTCTAATTACTTCACAGTCTACATTCCTCCTCAAAGCTCTCAGTCTAACATCTGCCTTCTCAAAAAACCACTCTGACACTGCTAGTCCCCAGTGAGCTTTTGATCTGCTATGGATCTTGAATCCTCTTCTGCAGCACTGGCTCCTGGGAGGCTGCTCGTTGTTTTTCAGCTGTGACAGTTTTTTCCCAAACAATATCATCTTTAATTTTACACTGTTCTCTGTTCTATTTTTAAATTGTTTCTCTGTTGTTGACACCACTTTCACTTTTAGCCTTTTCTCCAGTACACTTGCTGTCACTTTCAGCTATGTGCTGTCTACATACTTCCATCCTTGGTGACAGAAACAACAGCCAGAGTTGAATACAGAGACCCTCCATGAACCATCTTTCTACACTCCTATTTCACTGGGCTAGTGACCTCATTGTAGAAGGCTGTCAGGCTGATTTAAGCGTGACTGGCCCTGCATGAATCCATGCTGATTACTCCAAATCCCCATCTTGTCCTTCATGTGTTTGGAAATGCTTTCCAGGATGATTCTCTCCATCAGCTTCCCAAGGACTGAGGTGAGGTAGACTGGCCAGTAGTTCCCCAGATCTTCCTTCTTTCTGTCCTTGAAGATACAATTGGTATTTTGTCTCTTCCAGCCTCCAGGAACCTCTGCCAGTTGCCATCACCTTTCAAAGATAATCAAGAGTGGCCTCACAATGACATCAGCCAGCTCTCAGCACTCAGTGCACCCCGTCAGGCCCTCTGCGGCTCAGAATCATAAATTGTTTAGGTTGGAAAAGCCCTCCAAGATCATCAAGTCCAACAGTTCCGCCAGCGCTGCCAAGGCCACTGCTAACCCATGTCCCCAAGTGCCACATCCACACGCCTTTCAAATCCCTCCAGGGAGGGGCACTGCACCACTGCTCTGGGCAGCTGTGCCAAGGCTGGACCGTCCTTCTGGGGCAAAACATTGCTCCCAGTATCACATCTAAGCCTGGTGCAATTTGAGGCCATTTCCCCTTGTCCTGTCACTTCCATGGAAGCAGAGCCTGTCTCCTCCTGTCAGGGACTTGTGCAGAGCCACAAGGTCCCCCCTGAGCCTCCTTTTCTCCAGGCTGAGCCCCTTCCCAGCTCCCTCAGCCTCTCCTGGGGCTCCATTCCCTTCCCAGCTCCGTTCCCTTCCCTGGACACGCTCCAGCCCCTCCAGGACTCTCCTGGCAGGAGAGGCCCAGAGCTGCCCCCAGCACTGGAGGAGCCCCAGCAGTGCCAGCACAGGGGACGGGCACTGCCCTGGCCCTGCTGCTACCCCAGAGCTGGCACAGCCCAGCAGCCACTGGCTGCCTCTTGCCCACCTGGGCTTGTGTTGAGCCTCACTTGACCAACACTCACAGGACTTTTCTCAGCCCCTCTGCCCCAGCCTGGAGTGCTTCATGGGGTTACAGTGACCCCAGGGCAGGGCCTGGCACTTGGCCTTGCTGGCTCTCACACTGCTGGCCTTGGCCCATCATTCCAGCCTGTCCTGTTTCCTCTGCAGAGCCTTCCTGCTCTCCAGTAGATCCACATCCTAATCCACTTGGTGTCATCTTCAAACTTACTGAAGGTGCACTCAGTCCCCTCATCTAGACCATCAACAAAGATATTAAACTGGACTGCCAAGTACTGGGCTCTGGGGAAGACAACTGGTGACTGGCCCCAGATGGATGTCACCCCTTGGCTCTGTGGGCCCAGCCACCCAGCCAATTTTCCACTCAGCCAAGAGAGCCTCTGTCCAAGCCATGAGCATCCAGTTTCTCCAGAAGAATTATGTGGGAAATGGTGTCAAAAGGCTCCACTAAAGTCCAGGTAAATGACATCACCACAGCCTTTCTCTCATCCATCACCTTGTCATCCAAGAACATCAGGTGAGTCAGGCAGTACCTGCCATTCTGCCGGGCCTGATCACCATGCTGTCCTGTAGATGCCCCATGACAGCACCCCAGATAATGTGCTCCATGACCTTCCATGGCACCAAGGCCAGAGCCACAAATGTGCCTGTGGTTTCCCAGATCCTCCTTCTGAGCCTTCCTGCAGATGGGTGTAACCCAGGCTAACCTCCAGTCTTCTCAGACCTTTCCACCTAACCAAGACTACAGAAAAATGATTGGGTAAATCCAGTTTAAGCTCCCCTGCTCTGAGGAGCAGTGCACCCACAGCTTCCCTGGTCTCCCCTTTGCTGTTCATGTACTTGTAGAATCCTTTCTTATTGCTGTTCATATCCCTTCAGATTCAACTCCAGGCTGGCTTTGGCTTTCCTAACCTCATCCTTGCGAGACTGGACAGCACATGTACACTTCTGTGTCACCTGCTCCTGCTTTCACCACTTGCACACCTTCCTTTGCACCTAACCACTGACTGACAAACCTTCTGAAGGAATGAAAGGCCTCTGGTGTCACACATTTCTCCCCTTGGTCTTTGTGGCAATAAAAAAGTGTTTGGGTTTGACTTCCTCTTAACATACCCATACTGCTGTTATCAGCTACCCAATCTCCAGATGTTTACAAGCAATGTATCAGATTATTTAGTCTATAATCCTTTGGGAAACTGAAATATGCAGACTGGCCTATACTTCCCATCATTTCCTTCCTCCCTCCCTTTGTTGGACTTCTAAAACAGATTGAAATCAGACCACCTCCCACTGATGAAACAGACACTAGTCAATGGCTTCCTAGAACAAAACATTCAGAATCAAAAACAGAGTTTGAAGACTCCAGATGTCATTTGGGCAGGCAAGTCAAAGCACCTAATTAGGAATTACAAGTTATTTGTATTACCCGAAATCTTCTGCTTCTTCTTGGGAGAGTCTTTAACATCTTTGCCTTCCCTTTGCTCAGATTTCCTCTTGCCTTTCAACAGTACTTCTCCTGATAAGTAAGAACAGATATGCTTCAGTCTCAGTATTCAGTCTGGATAACAGCCTTGAGTCTACTGCTGCCTCATCTGGTCCTTGTATTCATTACTTATTAAAAAACAACCAAAATAAAAGTAGTTCTTGTGAGGCACCTGGGCACCAGTGAAGTGGACATCACCTTCTCACTCAGCAACACTGAAGCAGCCCATGGCCCACAGTACTATGATACAGCAGATGTGGAAGAAACAGTGCCACAGCAGGGCCTGGAAAAACAATCCTCAGGAAAAGAGGCAGAAAGCACTAGGTTATGTGACGGAAACCTCACCTGCATACACACAAAAAGGAGCATACAGAAACTCAAATCGTGCCTGCCCTTTCCAAACCTATCAAAATCTTGTCTCCATGAATACAGATGAGCACAGAAGCACAATAGTAGGCAGGGAACACCAATTAGAGACTTAAAGAAACAGATAGCTTCCTCCTGAGCCTGTCCCAGGAGACCCACAAGGAAAAGTCAGTGGGAACCCCTCCCTGCAGCCCCCTTTGGGAGGGGGACAGTGAGAAGGGAGAGCGTGGTGTTACCACCTGGGGTTATGCAGCACCTGGGATCTGAGTGGAGAACAATTCAGGATTACGCAGGACTAGGATGATCAGGAGTGGTATCAAAGGGAGGGAAAGGGACAGAATTACCCATCAAGTGTGGGAAAATAGAGGTGTAAGAGGATAGCAAAGAACACCTGCTTGTAAATAGGTGACTGGTCAGTATACAAATCTTGTCATGTCAGACAGCAAGCAGGGTCTGTGAGTACGAGCCTGTCTGTAAGGAGGTCTTCACCTGCCCCTGGCATGGCTCTACAGGGGCCAGTGCATCCCTGGCCCAGCAACTGAGGAGCCTGGGATCCAAAGGTCAGGCACAGAGCAGATGGAGTGTACAAGGATGGAGGCTGCTGGTGCTGTTTGTGTGCATGCTGATCTGCGTGGCTCCCGCCCATGTCTGCTGTAGGTTTGTGTTGCTCCCACAGGAATACTCAGTCTGGCTAGTGACTGCACCTGGGCTGTGCAGCTACAGCAATCTCACTTCTATCAAGCTACCAAATTTGCCTCTCCCCTCAACAGAATAAAATATGGATCCTGACTTAGAGGTAAAAAGGAAGTGCATTAAAGAAGATTGAAGTTTTGACTCTCTGCCACATAAGAAGTTTCGAAAACAGCTCCTAGGCCAGGAAATCTGAATGTTCCTGCAACAACCCAAACCAGACCCATTTCAAATCAGAAAATTTTAACTGACAAATGTGAGAAAATGAAGACATCCTTAAAAAATAATAATCTACCAACCACAAAAGCTGTATCTAATCCCAAATACTACTGAATGATCCCCTTTGCCACATCTTTAATGTTGACGGTTCTATTTTTAAAGCTCTTCAAGCTTATTTCTGATATGATTGGTGTAACCCTTACCTCTTCTACAGATAGAACTGAGTTCAGTCACAAAATGATTACTTTAATAGACAAGGGACTCAAAAGGAACTGCATAATATCAGAGAACTGTACCTGTATTTGTGCAGTGGCAAAAGTTCATTTCTTCTAATACATGAGCAGCACCAGCAAACTTGTAATTTTTGGCTGAATTGCAGCATGCCTTTCATGAGCAAACTAATTTCTCACTGAAGAACCAGAGAGAAAACCAGTTTTGCCTTGGACCACCAGTGATAATTACCCTTTTTATCTGAGGATTTGCTCACGCTGTTTTTCATCCCTCTCATTTCCAGCCAGTAAGCAGGCCTGCGAATGGTGCGCTTGCTCCGGGGCTCTGCGCTCCCGTTCACTGGGGAGGCCGGGGAGATGGTGGTGACTGTGTCCTCAGAGTCACTGTTCACTCCCACCACAGCAGCTTCCACCTCCTCAGCTGGCTTAGACCTGGAAAACATCCGGTCACATTCCTGCATGTATGGATGCATACTAGTGCACAATCACAATAAACCTGACAGACAACATCCTTCTCATCCTCCCAAGTATTCTGAAAATGAATAACACAATTCACTGAATCTCCTGAGTTTTGGGACCTGTAAAGTGCCAGCAAGATAAAACACTGTCCTCAGTGTTGGTTTTCAGTACATCTTTTTGATAATGACATTAGTGAGATCTCAAGAGGAACAGAAAAAAATATTCCTCCTACCTCAAACTTTCAACTTTAGAAGCAGGAGTAAGTGAATCTTAATTTTACAATATGCATTTATCCCTGGAATATAAGAATATTTCTGTAGCCCATCATTACAAAAGAGACATTTTCCATCCCACAAAGGGCAAGATCTCCTTCAGCCTCTACTCCCAGAATCAGGGGTGGCACTACTCAATTAAAGATTTTGTGCCAGTAAGAATTTTAACTAGCGAGGCTTTCAGCAATGAAGACAACTTCCAACCTACAAACCACACTACATTAAGACACTTTAGACTAATCAGCAGCACTGAAATTTTTTCCTAGAGATCAGAGGGAACTTTGCTTCACTGTTCCAAAGTATTTCTCTCAGGCCTTGAAATGCCTGAACATCTACATTCCTGTACACGACAGGAAACTGAATGAGGTGTCCAAGAAACACAGAGTATCTATTCTCTGGGCAAATACCACTTACATGAAGGAGAAACAAAGGGAACACAAACAGTTTGCAATGTGTCCCATTGCTACTGTAATTCCCAACTGAAATAAGTAGATCACTCGAGTGAATGATGACTGTGATGGCCATCGTGTCCATACTCTGAGCTGTGGAGCTCACCTTCAACACATCAATCCAGGAACTGATAAGGGGGGATGCTGAGGGCACCAGGTCAGGTCATTACATACTATGTTTCAGGAGGTACTGCAGAAGCATGGGGAGAGGCTTGCTCAAATTAAAGTCTTTAAGTTGCAATCACACCCAAAATGCATACATTTCAGAGCACCATTTGGTTTTGGACTCAAAATATTTATCTTCACAATGCTAAAATAGTTTAAAAAAATAAATGAAAGCTAATACACACTGAAGTGCCAGAAAAGCACTTTTCCTACAAACCGGTAAGTGAAGCCAGCTGAGACTCTCAACACATTAATTAAAATTGTTGCAACTCTTAAAATTCAGAATATTCTCAGCTTTTTTCTTGCCTTCAATCAAACTAGACAAAAACCATTCACATACTTTTTATTTCCTAAGGACTTCTTGAGCTTCTGCTGTCTGTGATGTCCAGTCCTGGTGTCCTAAAAAGGCAGAACAATTCACATTAGCAGCATCATTTGTTTTCTTTTAGCATGTTTCACTATGCAGCCAAGTACAACCATCTGCACATCACTTTGAGGATGTGCATTCACCACTCTTTGAAAAACAAATAACTGTTTTCTGCAACTAGAAGAGCTCAACCTTTCCAACTCCAGTGGAATTGGACTGGAATCAAACCAGGGATGAGCCCTTCCACACATCCCATATGAAATCTTTCACCTGCAATGGTGGAGTGTTCTTTGTCTCCAGTACATTCACCCATATATTTTTTCTGCCTATACTTTATCACTTGATGACAAATATTTTAGATACTCATTTGCTAGCTTTTACACAGTACTTGCTTTTCCTTAATGAAGTAATTCTTCCATTTACCCTGCCAAGAACCTTGTTTCTGGTCTCCTTCATGCCCTCCTTTTTATCTTGTTTTATCATACCCCATCAGCTGCCCAGATGTTCATGTTATCCACATCAAAGAATCCTTTTTTTCTTATTTAACAAAGATTTTTTTTGTCACTTATCAATTGCTGTGCTCCTATTAAGACATGCAATTTAACACATCTTTGTAAAAGTATGTGCACAAGTCAGCCGAACATGTCATTTGCTGTGAGCTGCTCCTAGTGCGTGGACAAACACGAACCACCACCTTCTTCCAAATGCTAATGATTGAATGCCATTCTTCATTAGAAAACTCAGGAAAAAACCAGTAGTTATACAGACTAGAGAATAAAAATCACTGCCCAGTGGAAGCATGAAGAATACCAAAACTGTAACCCAGGGAACAAAGGTAGTATTTTGCCATAAACAGAAACTGGCTAAGGAACTGGAAGAACCAAAAAAAATCACAGAAAAACCAACAGCCAAAACAAAACAAAACAAAACAACACCATGAAAAAACAAAAAAATCCAATTAAACAAAACAGAAAATTACAGACAAAAAAAGAAAACAGACAAAAAAAGAAATTATGGCTAATTACCTATCTTCTTTATAGAAAGATGTGATTCACACTATCAATCATGAGACGCCCCAAGCACCAGTTAAGAAGTTCAGAAGCAGGCACTAATATCAATACACGAATGATTAAACTGTGCCTATGCCCTCCAGCCCCAGAGTCTCCTCATAGAAACATTAGGGAAGCAGCAGGAGAAAATTCACAACTGCTTGATCAAAGACTTCACAATCAAATCTTGCCTCCTTGGAAGTGAAGTCAATTGGATGTTTGTATTTGCATTATTTACACCCAAAGGGCAGCGTCAACAGCATTGCCTGGGAAATCTCTACATGAGTGGAGAAGCAGACAGAAGCTATGAAGTTATAATGGTAAAAACGAATAAACAGGCAGGCAGAGTCTGCTGCAATTCACTGGCTTAATCTAGGATTAGAAGAACCGAAATGACAAACATGGCACGTGTATCAAGATTCATGGGGTTTTCATAACTAAAAAATTTTGCATAAGAGTGAAGATTACTATGAAGAATTTCAGTGGCAGTTAAGGATCTGCAATAAAAAAGGAGAGTGAAAATGATGTGTCAGGGTTTCCTCTCTGAGAAGTTAATAACAGCAATTAAGAAGGAAACATCTATAGAAACTGGTGTTTAAGTTCTGCGTGTTTTTTCATTTAAACACTTCCTACTTAAAAAACAGAGACCTAATGTATGCAGGAATGCCCAACGGCTGGACATAAAGAAAACAGAAAAGTCATGTTCCTTGCACAGGTGAGAAAAAGTGAAACAGAGCCTGAAAGGGCGGGGAGTGGTGGATTCCGTCTGCCTGCGGCCTGCGGGCCATGCCGGTGACCCGGAGCCAGGCTGGAGACAGCATCCAGGCGGCAGGACGGAGCACAAGCACAGCACCGCAACTCCCCGCGGCGAGAGCTGGCACGGAAACTGGAGGTGATTGAGGTGCCAGCAGGGACACCGGGCATCCTCAGGGCCCGACCGTCCTGCGAGGAGCGGGAGGGCTCGGTATCGTCTGGGGAACTCCCTGTTCCAGCCCCGCGTTCCCGTTCCTACCCGCGCACTCCATCAGCCAGGTCCTCCTGCAGCGAAGGCATTTCGGACAAAGCGCAGCCCCGGCGCCAGCAGCGCCCGCTCAGGGCTCCTGCCCGCCCGCCTCGGGCCGAACAGAACCGGCCCGGCCCCAGGCCCCAGCAGCGCCCGCTCAGGGCTCCTGTCCGCCTCGGGCCGAACAGAACCGGGTCCGGCCCCAGACCTGGCCTTCGGGCGCAGAGGGGCGGCTCCAGCCGCTGCTCTCCGGGAGCCCGGAGCGCTCCCGCTCTTAGCCCGCTCAGGGCCGCTCACGGCGCCGGGCCAGGCCCCACAGCCCCACCGGCTGGCCGGGAAGCCGGCTCGCTCCCGCTATCCCGACGTCGGAACCCATCTCGCGGTGACCCGCGGAGCAGCCAGGCTCTCGGGGGCAGCCGCCGGTAGCATCGCTGAAAAGACCGCGGGCACTCACCGAGCCTCCGCCGCTACTACCGCCCCGCATGGTGCCGGTGCCGCCGCCACGTCAGCGCCACGCCCGCCCGCGCGGCCCCGCCTGCCGCTCCCGGCCGGCCCTGGCAGCGCTCCCAGCCCCGCCGCGCTGCTGCTGCTGGTGTGGCGCGCCCGGGGCCGTGCCGGGCCGTGCCAGGCCGAGCAGCGCCGGGAGGCCGCGCGGGCCCGCGGAGCGTCCGGGCGGCAGCGGGGCCACAACCGGGCCCGCGCGCGTCACGTCGGGGCAGCGGCCGCGCCCGCCCCGGAAGGACAAGGGGACTCTGGGAACATGGCGGCGGCGGCGGGAGTTCCGGTGGGAGCCGCTCCGGTGTGCGTGCTGGTGCTGGGCATGGCCGGCTCCGGAAAAACCACCTTCGTGCAGGTGAGAGGCGGCGGGGGTCGCGGGGAGTCGTCGGCTGCCCGTGGGGGGCTGCCCGTACCCAGGGGGGCTGCCGCCTCCCCGTGCCCCCGGGGCTGCCCGTGCACGGCGAGGCTGCCGCCTCCCCGTTCCCCCGGATCTGCCTGTGCCCGGCGGGGCTGGCTGTCCCCCCGAGGCTGACGCCTCCCCGTGTCTCCGCAGCGCCTGGCCGCCCACCTGCACGGGCAGCGCTGCCCTCCGTACGTGATCAACCTGGACCCTGCCGTGCACAGCCTGCCCTTCCCCGCCAACATCGGTGAGCGCTGCTATTCTTCCAATGCGTTTGTACGTTTTTTATGTCATCTGGTGTGATTGGAGGTGTTTGGGTTCTGGAGGCTTTTTTTTTGTCAGTAATGAAAGGATTAGCAGATTTGATCCCTACATAGAAATATGCTGTCAACAAAGAGCTTTAAAGCGCTTTAAAAGACATGACTTTTAGAGAAAACATTTTAGCAGTAGGAACAGATCTTACTTTTAGCTGTTCCAAAGAACATACCAGTCCTTAGTTTTGTGACAATCCTGTCTCCTACCCTCTGTGCAGGATGCCAGTCAGCCTTCCCAAAGATAAGCAAGACACTATGGGTGCACGAGTTGTTTTACTGCGGTCAGAGGAATGGCTGGAGTGTCTGTTCCAGTGCTGGATCTCCAGGAACACAGATGCAGATTGGTGGATGTACTTTGTTAGCTGATGGTGACCAGCTGGGGGCGGGAAAACTGCTTACATGTCTTTCTTTCTCCCCTAGATATCAGGGACACCGTGAAGTACAAAGAGGTCATGAAGCAGTATCCTTTTTTTTGTCTGAATAATGATATTTGAAATTTCAGGTTTTTGAAAATAATCTTCTGCATGAACACTGTGTTAAAGGGGCAGGAAGTGTTTGGGGGGGATTGCAGTAATGCAGAGTGTTGCATGAAGATCAAGAGGCTTTGACTGTGTATTTCTTGCACGTGATATTAGGGATTTGGGTTCTACAAGATTTGGCACTTAGGTGATTTTCTCCTGTGCTAAAAATGATTTTGCCTAACAGTAAATTTTTACAAGCAACAGGGACTCTGCCCTTTTGTTTTGTTTTATTTTGTTTTTTGTTTTCGTGGAAGCCAGCAGCCTTTTCCCCAGATTTTAACTATCTAGTTTTATTTGTCATAAACAAATATGGAAATTCCTACTTGCCTGTAGTAGATGGAGAAAGAGATTTCTCCATTTGGCCATAACCAAAGCACTGTTGTCTCTCTGAATCTCAGAGACACGGGAGTGTTTGCTCTTGCTCACAGTGCTGCTGACTGTAGTGCAGTAACATTGTGCTAAAGTGGCTGCACTTCCAGAGGGCTGTGGAGATCCTTGGTTTCTTATGTAGTAGCTTGTGCAGATGGAGACAATACACAGTCTTTGGTTTTGACTTGCAAGTATGACTCTTAAATTTAATATTTTAGACAAGCGTAAAGGGGGATAGGATTCTTGATTTTGGCTGTTGTTTGATTTGGGGTTACCAGCAGAACATCCTAAATATAAGTTTCAAATTAATATGTAAGTGCATTATTTGCTTCACTGCATCTGTTATCCAACACTGGAGTTGCTGTGCCTTGTTAATAAGGGCCTGAGGAGGATATGTGGATGTTGAGAGCAGTGATAGAGAAAACAGTGTGTTATGAGTCAATGCTGGTTCTTGTGCAGGTAAAGCACAAATGGCAAGGAGCAGCCAGCCATGCAGCCCCTCTTCCTTCTGCCAATGGCACATGTTTGGGTAAGAGAGCATTTGTTACCCTGCTGAGTGACTTATAGACGTGTACTAGTCATGTATTGGGGATGTTGTCCCTCAATCCCAAGGTATCCAGAGTGCATCTGTTGTCAGAGGCGACAGAGATGACCTCTGGGCTCTGTGTAACCGTCTGCTTTCCTGAATGGAGCGTCAGATATGGGCTGGGCCCAAACGGCGGCATAGTGACCTCTCTCAATCTCTTTGCCACAAGGTTTGACCAGGTACGAGGTGGTTTCTGTGTGCTGCTCCATGATGTGTGCTGGATGTGGGGGTTTTGTGTGTGTCCAGTCTCAGGGGCACTGCTCTGTGTTTGGTGAGCTTTCTCATATTTCTGGGCAGTTATTCTCAAGGTTTGAACTCTGTGTTCTACAATGCTGTCAGAGCACATTAGCTTTCATATGAGAGATTTCAGGATTTCATCTTGTTTTAAAGTAAAATGAAGAGGCCACAGGTCTAGAACATCCTTCAGTGTTTGTATGGGACTATTGTTGCAGCGTGTTTCCTATAAAATCTTTCATATGGATGCTCTGGTTTAGGAGTAGGGCAGCTCACTTCTGGAAACCCATTAAATTTTCCTGGGGCCATTTGATAAAACAGCCCTCCTAAATCATACCACTGAATCAGCTCTGGGCTGGGGGCTAGTGTCAGATACTGAGATGATCTCCTGGTGAAGAGGCACAGAACAACTGCCTTTAGTCAAGTACTAGAACACTCACAAAATCAAGATTGTCTTTGACATACGCAGGATCTGAGCATTTTTCACCCCTCCTTATTAAGGCATTTTCACACTCTGAAAAGCATAAAGACTTTAACCTTTTGATATTCACCTGCAGCTGTGCAAGTTAATGTAGTTTCTGCTGTGAAATGAAGATGAAAGTTTCCTGTTGTGAAATATAAAATATACTTCTGCTTTTTCAATCAGGTGATGAAGTTTATTGAAAAAAGGCAAAATGCATCTAAGTGAGTACATTCTACTGAGTTGTGCCTTTCTGTGATCATTGTGGGAAAATTGCAAAATTCTAAAAAGCTTCTCTGAATGCTTTCTAGTTGGTTTTTTCAGCCTTGTTATAAATTTTATGTGGAAAAGGGCATAGAATGGATAAACTAGATTTTCTTTACATACATAAAAATAAAGCCTGCTTATCACAGTCCTGTTTTTCTTGTCTTCCATTAGACTATTGTTTTCTCTCACACACTGTTCAAATACGCAGCAACTTATTCTTTTTTTAAAGATTTTGCACTACTAACTGTCTGGCAAATCGATGCCTTCAACTCATAAGATTACATGCTTCTTAGTTACAAAATTCACACAGGAGATTTTCAGGCATGCCCATAAATCTCATTAGTGTTTGGGAGAAGCTTTTCTCATCTGTTATAGAATAATCATGTCAGTTGCTATTGTATGCTGGTAATAATCTAGTCAGAACAGGACCTTGTGCTTAACTAATTTTTCCTTATTGTTGTTTGGGGGTAACTTCTTACCAGGTATGTTATTATTGACACACCAGGGCAAATTGAGGTATTCACTTGGTCAGCATCAGGAACCATCATAACGGAGGCCTTGGTAAGTGCTTTTGCATGGCTGGACAGTGAAGCTGTGTGAATGACCTGGCTGTTGAGCAGTGAGTTTCTAATCAAACTGTCTCTGACTTGGTGTTCCCAGGCCTCCTCTTTCCCTTCAGTTGTTGTCTATGTGATGGACACCTCTCGCAGTACCAACCCCATCACCTTCATGTCCAACATGCTCTATGCCTGCAGGTAAGAAAGGCTGGAAATGCAGCCCATCTGCTTCAATTGCTATCTCTCTTTAATAGTTACTTTTGAGGGGAATCATGGAATAGGTTGGGTTTAAAGGGACCTTCAAAGGCCATCTAATCCATGCCCTCTTCCATGGGCAGGGACACCTTCCACTGGACCACGTTGGTCCATCCAGCCTGGCCTTGGACACTTCCAGGGATGGGGAACCACAGCTTCCTGTGCAGTGTGCTCCAATATCTCTCTGCTGTCATCATGAAAAATTTTGTCAGCATGTCTCTTTCAGTTTAAAATCATCATCCCTTGTCCTGTCCCTAGAAGCCTTGGTAAAGACTCACTCTCCATTTTTCTTATAAACCTCTTTGTATACTGCAAAGCTGCAATAAAGCTTCCTGAAGCCTTTCCCAGGCTGAACAATCCCAACTCTCTGGCCTGCCTGCATAGGAGAGTGCTCTGATGGTTTCCATGGCCTCCTGTGGGCCCACGGTACTGCTCCATGTCTTTGCTGTACCCTGGTTTCCAGAGCTGGATGCAGAGCTCCAGGTGGGATGAGAACAGAGGGAAAAGGGAGACTCACCTTACTCACCCTGCTGCCCATGCTGCTCCTGGTGCAGGCCAGGGTGTCTCAGATCCACTCCATCTACTGCCTTGGTTATTCTCTTAGTGATTTTCTCATTGAAAAAGCAGAATAAATTAGGTGCCAATGGACATATGGAGGTCATTGGCTCAAAACTCCTGCTGAAGGCATTAAATAATCTGTGAGATCTCGGTGTGGTGAATGCTGGTTACAAAAGTTTAACATTGCCTGTTGCTTATAAACCCATTTATCTAAGATGTACCAAGATAGTCTAGCATAAGTTTCTTCTTGTAAACACATATTTTCTTATTCTGTTTTTTAATGTTATTGGTACTTCAAGAGATTTTTCAAGATTTGTTTTGAGTTCAGCATAGCAACGAGATCTTGGTTTATTGTATTCTTTCTCATACATTAATATATCTCTTTTCTTTCATGTTAAATCAGGGACTAAATACCTGTAGAATGATCAGCATAACTAGAGCTGATCATAATTAATGGTAAATGTTGGTAAAAGGTTTTCAAAAACCCTTGCAATCTTTGTATGAAAATCAGGAGCTGTGTCACTATAATAGTGTGCAAAATATGTCTTACTGCATGCTGAATTTTCTGACGTCAGTTTGAACAAAAGGTGAACACGTATACAGTGCAATAAGTGTGTGAGCTCTTGTGTTGACGTAGTTTTTCTTTTTAGATGTTCTGTGTTATTTGAATTCATTGCTCAGTTCACGATCTCTCAGAACCTGAGGTCTGAGTCAAATGCAAAATGCAAATGTAATTAAAAACTGGGATCTGAGAGACATAGAAAATGGTAACCAAAATCAACTATGTGTGTCAGAGATTTTCTGCCTCACAGATGTGTGCTTACATCTTGGGGAAGCATATTTGTTCAAAGGTTGTAAGCAGGACCTGGGTGAAAATTACATTCTGATTGCTGCAGAGGAAAATAATTTTCTTTTGATGTCAAATGTATTCAGTCTTGCATAAGCCTTGTCTGCCTTATGCTTAACATGCTTTCTATTGTAGTGGGTTCTAAATTGATGTTAAACTTTCATTTTGTGTCTCCCTGCCCAGTATCCTGTACAAGACAAAGCTACCTTTCATCGTGGTTATGAACAAAGTAAGTCAAAGCTCTGATTTCCATTTCCTAGTGGGACGTTGTTCTGCTCAGCTTCTTTGGTGTGGTGTCTTTGTTTTACCACAATAATGGATTTTTCTAGAAAAGAGAGACTGGGAGGGGGCTGCAGGCTGACAACCATATCTAAGAGAGGCACAAGTATAACCAGGGATGGGCAGTTGCACCCAAAACAGAGCACCATCACTTTGAAGCACGTTTGGGACCTTAAGCCTGGACTATAGGGACACTTAACCCTGTAAGGTAAGAGGGAGGAGATGAGGGAGTCTGCTCTTACACACCCTTTTTGCACATGGAATTTGGCTTTGTTCCTGTTAGCAGCAGGCTGGTGACCCACATGGGAGTGAGTGGTGTAACCCCTTCTGAGGTTTGAGGAAGGAGTCCCACGTACTGCCCCAGGCAAAACTCAGCAGAAGGCGTTTGTTTGATCCAGTGTTTGCTGGGAGGCAGAAGCCAGTCTAGAGATACACATCTACTGCCATGTAGGGCACTCTTAAAGGAGTGCTTCTGAGTTTAACGGCTCAAAACAAAATCAAACATAATCATTTCAGATATTGAAAGGATCCCCTGGTGTGGGTGCTGCTGCCCACAGACATCATTGGTATTTGTGTTTGTATCCCCAGCACTGCAGGCTCTCTGCACACACACAGACAGACAGACAGACACACACACACACAGAGGCTCTCTGCACACACACACACACACACACACACACACACAGCTCCCACAGCTGTGCCTTTCCTGTGCCATTTTAGTGTCTGCTGTGCCCCAGCTCCACCTGTGTGCCCAGTGCTGCTGCCCACAGACATCATTGGTATTTGTGTTTGTATCCCCAGCACTGCAGGCTCTCTGCACACACACAGACAGACAGACAGACACACACACACACACAGAGGCTCTCTGCGCACACACACACACACACACACACACACACACAGCTCCCACAGCCGTGCCTTTCCTGTGCCATTTTAGTGTCTGCTGTGCCCCAGCTCCACCTGTGTGCCCAGTGCTGCTGCCCACAGACATCATTGGTATTTGTGTTTGTATCCCCAGCACTGCAGGCTCTCTGCGCGCGCACACACACACACACACACACACAGCTCCCACAGCTGTGCCTTTCCTGTGCCATTTTAGTGTCTGCTGTGCCCCAACTCCACCTTCTGCCCAGTGACCCAAACCCTCTTTTGGGACCTGCTTGCTTACTGAGCAACTGTTTTCTCTCTAACTCTAGACAGTAATTTTAGATAAGCTTCTAAGATTTTGGGGTTTTTTCCCATAGAAAAAGGCACAAGGTAGGAAAATCATTCTCTCTTAGAAAATACATCTTTTGAAAGGCTGAAAGTGGGACTTGATCATTAGGAAAGGTAGGCCTGAGGCGTAGGATTCATAACTTCAAACCTCAATTTAATGTTTGCCTTTGCTAAAGAGTAAAGGCAGCACCATTTTAAGGATTTTTAACAAAATTTAATTAAGTTTAGTTTTTTTAAATTGACTCTTGATAGAATGGAAGAATCCTGGGCAACTTATAGATATGCAGATTTTAGAATTTTAAGATGTGCAAAGGGAAAAAAAACCAATTTGTAGAGGTGATTTTATTTTATTTATAGAATTTGAAGTACTCAGGCTTTGGCCCTTGGGAGATTCAGTTCTGTCTTGAATCTTGTGAGTAATGCTAGGCAATACTTCATCTTTCTCCTTCCTGTTGGTGCAGGGAAATGAAGCATACCAGAGTTTTAGGCACCTCAGATTGTGCTGAGGGTGGATAAGCCTGTGGCAAGGTGTTGATGAAACTTTTGAATAGACTGTTTGCACATGAGTCCATGTAAAATTGTGAGGCCATCTCACCTGTTTGTGTCCATTGTTGTGCACTGAGTTTGGGTTGTAAGCTCCTTGGGTCGGAGCACAGCTGCCACTTACAGAGCCCGTATCACTGGGCTGCTGCCCACCTGCTCCCCCAGCTCCCAGGCAATCAGGAAAGCTTGGGATTTCAGTGGGGCTGCTCCTGCCTGGCCTCAGTCAGACAGTCTGCCATTTACAGGAACGCTTGGGATTTCAGTGGGGCTGCTCCTGCCTGGCCTCAGTCAGACAGTCTGCCATTTACAGGAACGCTTGGGATTTCAGTGGGGCTGCTCCTGCCTGGCCTCAGTCAGACAGTCTGCCATTTACAGGAAATCTTGGGACTTCAGTGGGGGCTGCTCCTGCCTGGCCTCAATCATAGAGTCTGCCATTTACTGGAAATCTTGGGACTTCAGTGGGGGCTGCTCCTGCCTGGCCTGAGTCATACAGTCTGCCATTTACAGGAACGCTTGGGATTTCAGTGGGGCTGCTCCTGCCTGGCCTCAATCGTACAGTCTGCCATTTACACTGTAAGCTTTATTGTAGAATGTGCAGTGTTTGAATGCTCCATTGCAGTAAGTCATAGAAGGCTTTAGATCTGTGATTGTTCCCTTAAACAGTCATTGCCTGCTTAAACCTGAGCAGTTGTTTGTCTTCTCTCCAGATATTCATTTGATAAAAACAGAACTTGCGAAACTCCAGACCAGGGCTGAGTATTTTGAAAATATTAACATTTTGAAAATAAACTTAACATGGACTTTTTTTATATTTGTCCACTTAACAGCCTATGGCTAAGATTATTACTGGTGAACATTTTCCCTTCTCCTTCCAGACTGACATAATCGACCACAGTTTTGCAGTAGAATGGATGCAGGACTTTGAGACTTTTCAGGATGCCCTGAACCAAGAGACCTCCTATGTCAGTAACCTGACTCGTTCCATGAGTTTAGTATTGGATGAATTTTACAGCTCACTGAAGGTAAGAATCTTGGTTTTGTTTATTACCTCTCATCAAAGCCTGGAGACAAGAAAGCTCAAGAATAATGTTTTTGATGTAGGGTGGGAGTAGAGTGTGAGGAAGTCAAAAGGCAGACTGTTCACTGCTGCTCAGGGAAAGGAAAAGAGGCAATAGACACAAAGTGAAATACAGGAAACTGTGTTTGAGCAGAGGAGGAAAAAATGACTACATTTTTACTGATTAAACACTGGAACAGACAGTGCAGAGAAATTGTGGAGTCTCCAGCCTTGGAGACAGACCAAGTTATGAGGCAACCTGTTCTAGTTAATTCTGCTTTTTGGGCAGGGAAGTTGGACTAGATTATCTCCAGAGGTGTCACCCAATCCTGCCCACTCTGTCCTTCTGTAAAGGGTCTTTGCACTGCCCTTTTGATCTGAAGTCTGTTGATTAGCTGTGTTAGGATTTACTGATTTGAACACAGTTACTTCAGTAACTTGTCACGCTGAGTGGCAGCCCTGAATAATTCAATATTGTGATTAATCATGAGAAGAAAGCCAAGATAGGCTGGTGAGAGGCAGCATTCTTTGTTGCAGCATTTCCTGTCTGAGGTAATTTTCCTTGTTTAGAAAGTGTGTCGTGCAGTTGTGCGATTTAGTACACAGGAAGAAGGGAAAGAATCTCAAACCCAAACAAACACCCTCTCCCCCCTGCGCCCCCATATTTGCTTGGCCAAAAAGAAGTTGGGGTTTTTTTCTCACTTAACCAGGTTTTGAGAAGACAAAGGAATCCAGCTCCTCAGGAAACCCTGTGCATCGTAGGCTGTTACTGTTCCCATAGTCTGTGCAAAAGGTTTCAGCTAATTGTGTTTGTCATTAGCTTTTACTACAGAAAAAGCAACCTTTCTTGCCTTTATGGGTGTTTAAAGAAAGACAATGAAAATAAGTGATTCTATTCACAAAGATAACAATAACAACAACAACAATAATAATGTAGCCAGATGTAATGTACATGTTCTATGTGGAACAAAATACAGAGAGGATTGTAGTGGTGCCATATACAGAATTAAAGTACTCCGTGTTCCTTATTTGTTAATTAGGTCCTGTTTCTCTGCATGACTGGAGAGCAGGTCATGTGATGATTGTAGCATAGACTGCAGCTTGTACTTCAGTGCAGGGAAGTAGAAATATTAACATATGTCAGCAAATAGTAATACTTAAACTCCTTTGGAGAGCTGTCTCACGTTTGCTGTATTAATGACCAAGTGCAAGGCTGTATTGCAAAAGGTCTTCCATTTGTTAGGGAATAGTTGAGACTGTCTTGCTTTCAAAAAAGAGGAAGAATTTTTGTTAGAAGAGGATCGATTCTGGCTAGTAATAGTGCTAATGAAATGTGGTTTTAGATAATTGATTTACCACAGACAGAACAAATGGCCAGATGTGTAATGATAGACAAGACCAAGTTAGAAAAGAGATGTGCATCTTGAATGTATTGCTGCCGTAACTGATTGAATTCTCCACCCCACACTCTGGGGTTGGACTGCGTGGCCAAGTGTGATGTGGCTAAATACAAAGTATTATATGGGTCAGTTGTTGATTTTGCTACTTCTAGTACACTGATACACACTAACTACTTATAACCCTAGGTGCAGATTGGATTATTAACAGTCAACAAGTAAGTGACAGAAAGACCTGACTTTCTCTTGAAATGCCCAACTTTGTCAAAAAAACCAAACCCCCTTCCCCAAAGAAACACCCCCCAAAAATACTGCAACGACTCACCAAACAGAAAACCGGCACCACCCAAAAGACAGAGGTAACTAACATGAGCAGCAAGCGGACAAGGACAAGGAGTTTGAAAGCAGGATGGAGAGAAGCAGAAGTGGTACTGCACATTCTTGTGCCACTCTCATGAGCTATTGTTGGGTTTAGACTGGTAATCATTTGTTAGTTTTTGTGGTTTTTTGTTAGAGAGTGGTTCAGTTTCTCTAGTTGTGTGTGGTTTCTCTTGCAGGTGGTTGGTGTTTCTGCGGTGCTCGGTACAGGACTGGAGGAGTTTTTTACCCAGCTTTCTAAAGCTGTGGATGAATACGAGCGGTAAGGCCATAGTCAGCCCATGAACACTTCCTGAAGGGTCTGATCTGCAGCTCCTTTGGTTTGAGGAGAACACTTCAGGGAACACTTCCTGAAGGTTCTGATCTGCAGCTCCTTTGGTTTGAAGGACTCTGCACCTTCCTTAGCCAAGGTAGTTTAGGGTTTCTGATAAATTTCAAGCATCAGCATAGAAAGTGGCAGTGTAAAGGAACTATTCAGAGATGAATTTTTGTGTTTGCTGTTCCGTGAAAGAGCAAAAGCTATCTGTGCCATTAAATATGTGAAGGAATATTTTTTCTCTAATTCTGTACAGCGATCAAGGTTTGAACTCTTGCTGTTTCAATGAAGTGTGTTCACTTATTTTGCATCCGTTGGTTTCAGAATCCAAATCTGGGTAAAAAATACTGTTAGTCCTTCTGAAATGTCTCTCAAACATGAAAGCCTCGAGAAAACTTTTGGGGTAGAAGGAAGCCTCTGAGATGATCCTTATTTAATATAAATCATGTGTTGATTCAGACTGAATGCACTCTGTCTTTTCAGAGAGTACCGTCCAGAATATGAACGCCTGAGAAAAACACTGGTAAGTGGTTTTGGCTGTTGTGTGCCTGGACAGAGTGTCTTGAGGTCACTTTAATGCACACAAGTGCCTTTATGCTGAGTGGGTCTAACATTTCATTTAGTAGTCATACTCAGTGTGGGAAAAGCCCCTGTCCTGAAGAAGTCTGCTCTCTGCTTTTTTCCCCTTGATGTGGTGGAGCATATCTTTACAAGAATAAAGATGTTTTATAAAACACATATTGTTTGCTGTTTCAGTGCTAGTATTTAGGCTAATTGTGAGAAAATGGTTGGGAAATAGTTTTGTATCTTCCATTCAGAAGGATAGAGAGTTCTTGAAAATAAATTCTCAAGTGATTTGTCGAGGCTGTCCTTGTATCTTCCTGTGCCAGTGAAGTGTACTGGTTTGACTTAAACAGTAACAGAGACAGATCTGCAGTGCCAGAGTCGGTAGCTCTGCTCATTTGAGTCCTGGCTGTCCAAAGGACAGTTCTCTGCAGGCACAGCTGCACTGAGTTTGGCTTCCTGATGTTTCTGAAAATGTTCTACAAGTCTGCCATACTGAAGGGTGCTGTCTGTGTTTGTCTAAAGTTCTGTGTAACCTTAGTTGCGATGTGAGATCTGCTCAGTGAATTGCACTCTGGCTGGGGGGCAGAGGCTGGGTTTGGGGGAGGTTATTTTCCTGCTGATATTTAAAATGTTCTCAGAATCCACATGTAACACTTGATCTACAGGAGGAAGCTCAGGAGAAACAGAAGAAAGAGCAGCTGGAGCACTTGTGGAAGGACATGGGCAGTGTGTGCATGCAGAGCAGCACCCTGGCAGGTACCTCACCAGGAAGATCCAGTTCACTGCAGGAGTTTTCTGAAGAGTTTGTGTTGAGAAGTGCTTCTCTGTTCCCACAGCAAAAGGGTGAAAGCAGCTCCATGTTAGAGGAATGGGACTTTAGTTCCTGTGGTATTGGCCACATTTAGGTATTCCTGTCAGTCACAGGCGTGCAGGAAACCCTGCTGTGCAGCTAAAGCAACAGACAGTAAAAATAATGAGGGTCTTTAGAAGGGATGAAACAGATTAGGATATGGGAGAGCTGTGCTGTTGGCTGCACTGTTCCTTACAGGTACGTGCTGATGGAGTCTGTCCTGTGTCTTTGGGATCCATGACCCAGAATAGGTGTTAATTGTTGTGTTTATGTGCAGATAAAAGTTGTCACTGTTAACAATACCTTACCTTTAGCAAGCTGGTTTGTGTACAACCATTTCTTTTCCCCTCAAGGATCTGGTGATGCTTCTGCAATGGGTCCCTCTGAGCTAATCCTCACACGAGGAACTCTCGATGAAGAGGAAGAAGAGAGGGACAGTGATACCGACGACATTGACCATGAGGGTAAGGGAATGAGGCCTGAAACTGCCCATCCAGTTAGGAAATGCCCTCTGCATTTCATTACCTGGGTGGACTGTAAAGAGAGCCTAGAAAACAAGCACCCACTCAGTCACCTAAATACACGTGTCAGAATCCATAGCAGAAACCCAGCTGCAGTGTTTGGTCAGTGCTATCACTCCAGCCTCTGGGAGAGTTCAATTGTAAGTTTTCTGTGTAAGTTATTAATAGGTGTATGGCCCACATAAACCAGAGAGCTCCTTAGGCTTGAGGCATGCAGTGACCTCTGAACCTGACTGATGCCCAGCTGTTCTATCATCTCCTTCACCTTACAGTTTCTGCCCTGGCTGTGGCTTTTGCTGTGACTATGGTCTTGGAGCAATCTTCTAAGTTCTTAGAGGGTGATTTTTCTCTTCTATAGCTCACAGACTTAATCTTCATTCTTTTCCTGTTCCGTTGGTGTTTCGGATCACTTCTTTCCTTTGCCCAGTAGTGTAGTTGAAGATCCAACGGATGTTTTGTGTTATTTTGACTATCCTGACTCCCTTTTGTCAGTAACTGAGGTAGAATAGTGCTGAACTGTCGTTTCTTCCCCCAGTGACTGAGGAGAGTCATGAGGAGCCAGCCTTCAGAAACTTCATGCAAGACATGCGGATGAAATGCCAGAGAAAAAGCAACCTGAATGAATGAGACCTTCACAAACAGAAGATTTGGAAGGAACAGCATAAAGAAACTTGCACGGAGCCATGAGTGAAGACTTTTATTTGTGAACTTGCTTCCTCTGATAGATTTTTATTTCTCTTTCTGCAGTAACTGTTGGTCATGTGAGTTAAAGATCTCGGAGCCAACTGACTGCACAGTTTGCCATCTGCACTGTGGCTTCCTGAAGCTGAGGGAATCAGATAGCAGTTTCTTTTCCTCCAGATTCTTCAGATCTGTCTGTTGAGAGCTTAGATTGTGAGCTCTGGCAGGCAGCATTAGTATCTGCAGCACTAACTGGTCCCTAGAACGTGTTCCATTCACGTGTGCAGCCAGGTGCCTGCTGCAGCCAGGGCACAAGTAATGCTGTACTGAACTTTATCAATCTACTCACTGTTTGATGGTTTGGTTTCTGTTAAATATATTTTATGTACTAACAAATGTGTGATAATAACAGAAGGGAATTTCATTTTGAGCACTGTTCTAAAGTGAGATTTTTTTCCCTGTCCTTGCAGCCCATCTGTACGGATGTGCAGCAGCTTCTTCATTACATTGTACAGACATGGTACACATTCCTCCCAGGAAAATCCTGAGCAAAGAAAGTTCCCAGGAAAGTAATAAAAAGTCTCTGGCTTGATTTGGCTGATAATAGAAGTGCACATGGTTATGTACTGGCTGCATCTATCCCTAGGTTACTTAAAGCAGAGGCATTTCCATAGATGAGTGCTGACCTGGAATACCCACAAGTGCTTAGAGACTGGCTAATACTTACTTTTCATGGTAGGCACTTGCAGTTTAGCAGTCTGGACCCTGAATCTCTGGGGTTTTCTCCTCCACACAAAGGGGTGGCCTCACTGGGTAGGTCTCTTGAGTGCAAGTCTGGCACAGGTTAGCTAGCACCAATCCCAAATGGCTAGTGTGGAATAACCACTCTGCTTTAATTAATAAATCACTGCTTCCCTTAAGATAAACCCTTCAACTTTACTTCAATTTCACCAAGTTCTGAACTGTGGCCACTGTGTCCCTGGTGGAATTCTGTGTATGGTCCTATGGGAATGTTCACAAGGAACAATTCTGTGTATGGTCCTATAGGAATGTTCTCAAGGAACAATTCTGTGTATGGTCCTATGGAATGTTCACAAGGAACAACACTGCCCTAACCTGTGACTGTAGCCCAGGGGTGACCTCGTCCCAACACCTCCAGCTGTGTCAGTGAGTCCTGACTGTGCCCATGCTGACCCATCACAGGTTCCTCTGCCTGCTGCCCTGGGCAGCATCCCTAAAGTGCCACCAAGAGAGGAGCTCCTGTGGGCACAGTGTCCTGGGATTCAGGGGAAAAGAAGGGCTTTTCAGTCTTCAGCACCTCACACTCCATCGGCACTGCTAGCAAACGGTCCAGCCTCTGGAGGACACAGTCACATTTTACAGGTCCTGTCTCACTTCAGCTTCCCAAGGGACAGTCTGACAGGGAGAGGGAAGGAAACAGGTCTGGTCGGACAGCCTGCTCCCAGAAAATCATCCTAACCCTTACAGCACTAAATAGAGCTGTAGGAACTTCCCAAAACATTGATTTCCCTGCAGACTGAGGGCTTAGAGTGGCACAAAGTTGAAGCAGAGGCTGGACCTGTCGTGAACAGACCATGTAAATATAAGAGGTAAGAGCCACTCAGACAATTCCATAAAACATTCCAAAATCCATCTCCTGGGATATGATCATCTCTGGGTTTTTTTTAGTATTGTCAATTTTAAATTTTCTTCCCAGGTTTTTGTCTTTCCCTTGGATCCTTTTAACTCTTGTTTCAAATTGTCATTTGGTATCGTAGAGACAATTTTACATTACCAATTCAATTTATTTCCTTTATTTCATTTCTCAAATTACCATTTTATCATCTGTTCCCTCCATTGCTGTGCAAACTTTAAACATAGTGCCAGTGCATTACAAATAATACTTTCTCCCTTTTATCTTTCAGCAGTCCCCATTTTTCATCTATTTTCTCCTACATTTTCTCCCACTTGTACCAGTTATCTACTGGCCAAAGCTCATCAGTTTCAATATGAAAACTCTGCCTTTGCAGGTAATCTGCCAAGCCTTTTGTCTGTTTCTCTAAATTGTTTGCCATCTTGTCTTCAACTATGCCAAAAATGTCACGAAACAAGTGGGAGCTTCAGGCAAGCCCTGCCTTAGCCTCAGGTTTTTGGCAACCTCTTAAATTCAAGAAAGCGCTCTGGCCCACAAGTTCTAAGGATGGCAAATCAAGGCGATTCATAAAATCAGTTAATTGAACAGACAGGAGATAACAGACAAAAGGTCTTTACTACACAGTATAAACAAGGAAGAACCACTAGTAGATTACATAAAAGTGCATATCACTTTTATGTACTTACATATTTTAAAGCTAGCAAAAGAAAGATTATTGATTAGGGGTCAAGTGGAATTTGGCACCAAATGCCATTGGTGTATCCAGAGTCCTTTCACTCACTGTCCAGAGGAGTAACTGCAATGCAGGCTCGCTTCTCTGGAGAGAAACTCCACACATTTACAGGGGATGAGCAGAACATTTCTGCTTTGGGAAAGTTTGGTGTGACTTTAGTAGCTTTTACATTAAAGTGAGGTGCCTGTCAGTGAGAAATCCAGCTTATCTTTCCAGGTCTCACTCCCACAGTAAGATGTTCATTGTCAGCCTGGAGCGTTCATCCCGTGGCACCAAACCAAGGTGCTATGAGACAGCTTGTCCTGTTTGAGTCATTTCACCATTTAACAAGCAGCTGATGAGCTCTCCCAGGGGTGAAATGTGCTCCAGCTCTCCTGCAGGTGAGATGTGCTCCATCTCCCGGGGGTGAGATGTGCTCCAACCCTCCCAGGGGTGAGATGTGCTCCATCCCTCCTGCAGGTGAGATGTGCTCCATCTCTCCCGGGGCTGAGATGTGCTCCAGCTCTCCTGCAGGTGAGATGTGCTCCATCTCCCAGGGATGAGATTTGCTCCATCCTTCCTGCAGGTGAGATGTGCTCCAGGTCTCCCGGGGGTGGGATGCCCTGATCCAGGTGCCTCTGTGGGTGATGCAGAGCTCCTCCCTTCCCGAGCAATCCGTGCCGGACAGATCAGGATCAGGCGTGGCACTGAGGTGGTGTCGGGCTCTGCCCCCTTCCCAGCCCTGCTCAGGCCTCCAGGGGAATGTGGCAGTGCCTGCAGAGCTGGATGCTGCTCCAGGCAGGATGGCAGCTCCTCCTCACCTCTCACTCAGCACCATCAGGATTTTTAATGCCCCTGCTTTGACCTTCCGTTACCTTTGCCTTACTGACCACATGAGAAAACCCAGCAAATCCTAAGAAATCCTGCGTGACAGAAGGTCAGATTTAGGGTGGTGTTACAAACTTTCTGTTTGGACACCTGTCCACAGGTTCCCACATGCCTTGTGCCACCACCACCACCAGTCGTCAGTGATCTCCAGTGCCCTGGAACAGCTGCCCCAGTGCCAGTCGGTGCCAGCAGCAGCTGCAGCCAGGCTGAGCAGGGGTATTGGGCTGCACAGGTAAGGACCCTCCCCTGGCTGCTTGCACCTGAGTGAGACCCAGCTACTAACTGAACTCTGGATATAGCCTCAAAATGTGATAGAATCAGACCTTCAGAATGGCTCCAAGGGACAACAGCTCCAGTGGCAGCTCTGTAAGGGACACATCCTTGTCCCAGCCCTGGTTCACTGACACACACACAATAAATCAACAGTAACAAGGAATTCTTGCTTGCAGAATTCCCAGCCCTAACCATTGCCTTTCCTGCCTGCAGCTGAGGGAAATTTCAAAAAATATGAACAAATAACCTTTGCTGAGGGCAGTCACCATCCCAATCCTTCAGCCTTTGCAAGATTTTATAGTGAATGGGTCCAAATTCAATTCCTGAATTAAACCTTCTAACAAGTTAGAAAGATACTGGACAGTAAATCACACAGGTTTAAACGTCTGCGCAGGGCTTGCAGCACAACCAACATTAAACTGTTTTAGCTGCCAGGAACCTAAACTGTGCTTCCCAAGGTTTCAGACCCTGGGACTGTCAGCTGCCACCTCTGCCCTTCGTTTGTCTTTTTCCCCTTGAGAAGTTGGAGAGCTGCTCCCAGTTTTCTTTTTAGAAGCAGCTCCGAAATATGAACAAAATAAAACATTTCTGACTCTGGTGAATAGCCTGAAGAAGAATGACTGAGAATGGAAAAGAATTGTATGCAAATAGCTATTGTGGATGGGGCTGAAACTATGAGTGTGAAGATTGGTATAAATATCCCAGATTAATTATGCTGCAAATTCAGATAATTTTGCAGATAATGGAAAATTACCAAGATGCAGGAAAAATTTAATGACCCTAAGTAAATTACATTTCTGTATCTGAAATGTAAAAAAAAATTTGATAAAATATATGAAAAATGTAAAATATTTAATTACAGTTTAAAATAAAGAGCTTATTTTTATAGGCTGGGATTTTATTATAAAAATATAATTATAAATAATATAAAGATAGAAATCTAAATATAGAAATATATGATAAATACATAAAGATATCTATAAAATATAAAATATAAGCAAATATAAGTATGAGAACTAGTTATAATATATAAGTATTATTGTAGTATATTACTATATAATTGTATATATTATATATAAATATATCAATGTAAACTATAAATGTAAAAGTGAATATAATTATAAAAATATAAATATAAAAATATTTAAACACCATTTAAATGAAGGTATTTTTAAATTTTGGTTAGAGGCAGGGGTTTTATTTTAAATACTATAAATATTATAGAAATATAAATCTAAGTACGGAAATATATCACAAATATATAAATATATATATAAAAATACACCCGTAGCAGATTTGTTTGCCCTGTGTCTGTGAGAAGCGGGCTGTGTGCTGGACAGGGAGAGGCGCTGTTGGAGAGTGGCATCGGCGCCAGGTGAGAGTGTGAGGATGGTGGGGGCTCGGAGCAGCCCAGGTGTGAGTGTGAGGATGATGGGGGCTCGGAGCAGCCCAGGTGTGAGTGTGAGGATGATGGGGGCTCGGAGCAGCCCAGGTGTTAGTGTGAGGATGATGAGGGGCCGGCTCCTGCCGGGGCGAGGCTGTTTTAGGGGGAGGCTTTGCCTCAGTTCCCTTTTGCGTGGAGCTGCTGAGTGGAGGGGTTTATGGGGCCGTCCCGGCGCTGTCTCATGGAAGGACTGCGAGAGCTTCTCACAGGGTCGGGGGGAACGCCTGGATCCGCGCTTGGATACGTGGAGCATCGCTTAAAGGAGGCGCCGAGGGACGAATCTTTGTGCCGGGAAGGAGCAGCCGAACAGGTGAGCCTGTGTGGGTTTGGAGCGGGGAATTTTCTCCTTTCCCTTTCCAATTCCATCTTACCAGTCCCTCCCCGGTTCCCGAGGAACAAAAGTGGAGCTTATGAGGACAAAAGGGATTAAGGAGAAGGAAGCGGCTACTCTTCTCTT